TATGGGACAAAAGTCATATTACAATTGAAGTTTTGACAGATCAACAAGACAAAATAACAAGTTGAAATATTATCCCTGTCTCATAATAGTTGTGACATTTGCATGCAGATTTCCTACACTAAATGTACCAACTATTATGGGACAAAAGTCATATTACAATTGAAGTTTTGACAGATCAACAAGACAAAATAACAAGTTGAAATATTATCCCTGTCTCATAATAGTTTTGATCAACAAGACATTTGCAAGCAGATTTCATACACTAAATGTACCAACTATTATGGGACAAAAGTCATATTACAATTGAAGTTTTGACAGATCAAGACAAAATAACAAAGAATTATCCCTGTCTCATAATAAATTTAGCAGATTTCATACACTAAATGTACCAACTATTATGGGACAAAAGTCATATTACAATTGAAGTTTTCCAGATCAACAAGACAAAATAACAAGTTGAAATATTATCCCTGTGACATAATAGCAGATTTCCTACACTAAATGTACCAACATTATGGGACAAAAGTCATATTACAATTGAATTTGACAGATACAAGACAAAATAAAATGTACCAACTATTATTTGGGACAAAATGTCATATTACAATTGAAGTTTTTCCAGATCAACAAGACAAAATAACAAGTTGAAATATTATCCCTGTCTCATAATAGTTGTGACATTTGCAAGCAGATTTCCTACACTAAATGTACCAACTATTATGGGACAAAAGTCATATTACAATTGAAGTTTTGACAGATCAACAAGACAAAATAACAAGTTGAAATATTATCCCTGTCTCATAATAGTTGTGACATTTGCAAGCAGATTTCCTACACTAAATGTACCAACTATTATGGGACAAAAGTCATATTACAATTGAAGTTTTGACAGATCAACAAGACAAAATAACAAGTTGAAATATTATCCCTGTCTCATAATAGTTGTGACATTTGCATGCAGATTTCCTACACTAAATGTACCAACTATTATGGGACAAAAGTCATATTACAATTGAAGTTTTTCCAGATCAACAAGACAAAATAACAAGTTGAAATATTATCCCTGTCTCATAATAGTTGTGACATTTGCAAGCAGATTTCATACACTAAATGTACCAACTATTATGGGACAAAAGTCATATTACAATTGAAGTTTTGACAGATCAACAAGACAAAATAACAAGTTGAAATATTATCCCTGTCTCATAATAGTTGTGACATTTGCAAGCAGATTTCATACACTAAATGTACCAACTATTATGGGACAAAAGTCATATTACAATTGAAGTTTTGACAGATCAACAAGACAAAATAACAAGTTGAAATATTATCCCTGTCTCATAATAGTTGTGACATTTGCAAGCAGATTTCCTACCTTAAATGTACCAACTATTATGGGACAAATGTCATATTACAATTGAAGTTTTGACAGATCAACAAGACAAAATAACAAGTTGACAGATCAAAATATTATCCCTGTCTCATAATAGTTGTGACATTTGCAAGCAGATTTCATACACTAAATGTACCAACTATTATGGGACAAAAGTCATATTACAATTGAAGTTTTGACAGATCAACAAGACAAAATAACAAGTTGAAATATTATCCCTGTCTCATAATAGTTGTGACATTTGCAAGCAGATTTCATACACTAAATGTACCAACTATTATGGGACAAAAGTCATATTACAATTGAAGTTTTTGACAGATCAACAAGACAAAATAAAGTTGTTGAAATATTATCCCTGTCTCATAATAGTTTTTGTGACATTTGCAATCTCGTCTTCATAAATTTCATTTACACTAAATGTACCAACTATTATGGGACAAAAAAGTCATATTACAATTGAAGTTTTGACAGATCAACAAGACAAAATAACAAGTTGAAATATTATCCCTGTCTCATAATAGTTGTGACATTTGCATGCAGATTTCCTACACTAAATGTACCAACATTTGGGACAAAAGTCATATTACAGTTTTTCAGATCAACAAGACAAAATAAATGTACCAACTCATTATGGGACAAATTTCATCACTAAATTACAATATGGACAAAAAGTTTTGACAGATCAACAAGACAAAATAACAAGTTGAAATATTATCCCTGTCTCATAATAGTTGTGACATTTGCAAGCAGATTTCCTACACTAAATGTACCAACTATTATGGGACAAAAGTCATATTACAATTGAAGTTTTGACAGATCAACAAGACAAAATAACAAGTTGAAATATTATCCCTGTCTCATAATAGTTGTGACATTTGCAAGCAGATTTCCTCACTAAATGTACCAACTATTATGGGACAAAAGTCATATTACAATTTTTGACAGATCAACAAGACAAAATAACAAGTTGAAATATTATTGTCTCATAATAGTTGTGACATGCATTTTCATACACTAATTGTACCAACTATTAAATGTACCAACTATTTTGGGACAAAAGTTGAAATATTACAATTGAAGTTTTGACAGATATTATGGGACAAAAAGACAAAATCAAACAAGTTGAAATATTATCCTGTCTCATAATAGTTGTGACATTTGCAAGCAGATTTCATACACTAAATGTACCAACTATTATGGGACAAAAGTCATATTACAATTGAAGTTTTGACAGATCAACAAGACAAAATAACAAGTTGAAATATTATCCCTGTCTCATAATAGTTGTGACATTTGCAAAGCAGATTTCATACACTAAATGTACCAACTATTATGGGACAAAAGTCATATTACAATTGAAGTTTTGACAGATCAACAAGACAAAATAACAAGTTGAAATATTATCCCTTTCGTCTCATAACAAAAGTTGTCCAGATCAACAAGACAAAATAACAAGATTTCATCTACACTAAATAGTTGTGACAACTATTATGGGACAAATGGGTCAAAAGTCATATTAAATTGAAGTTTTGACAGATCAACAAGACAAAATAACAAGTTGAAATATTATCCCTGTCTCATAATAGTTGTGACATTTGCAAGCAGATTTCATACACTAAATGTACCAACTATTATGGGACAAAAGTCATATTACAATTGAAGTTTTTCCAGATCAACAAGACAAAATAACAAGTTGAAATATTATCCCTGTCTCATAATAGTTGTGACATTTGCAAGCAGATTTCATACACTAAATGTACCAACTATTATGGGACAAAAGTCATATTACAATTGAAGTTTTCCAGATCAACAAGACAAAATAACAAGTTGAAATATTATCCCTGTCTCATAATAGTTGTGACATTTGCAAGCAGATTTCATACACTAAATGTACCAACTATTATGGGACAAAAGTCATATTACAATTGAAGTTTTCCAGATCAACAAGACAAAATAACAAGTTGAAATATTATCCCTGTCTCATAATAGTTGTGACATTTGCAAGCAGATTTCATACACTAAATGTACCAACTATTATGGGACAAAAGTCATATTACAATTGAAGTTTTCCCAGATCAACAAGACAAAATAACAAGTTGTACCAATATTATGGGACAAAAGTCATATTCCTGTCAACAAGACAAAATAGTTGTGACATTTGACAAGCAGATTTCATACACTAAATGTACCAACTATTATGGGACAAAAGTCATATTACAATTGAAGTTTTGACAGATCAACAAGACAAAATAACAAGTTGAATATTATCCTGTCTCATAATAGTTGTGACATTTGCAAGCAGATTTCATACACTAAATTTACCAACTATTATGGGACAAACTTTTTTCCAGATCAACAAGACAAAATAACAAGTTGAAAATTTGAAGTGTTTTCCAGATTTCATACACTAAATGTACCAAAATAACAAGTTGAAATATTATCAACCTAAGTTGAAATATTGTCTCATAATAGTTGTGACATTTGCAAGCAGATTTCATACACTAAATGTACCAACTATTATGGGACAAAAGTCATATTACAATTGAAGTTTTCCAGATCAACAAGACAAAATAACAAGTTGAAATATTATCCCTGTCTCATAATAGTTGTGACATTTGCAAGCAGATTTCATACACTAAATGTACCAACTATTATGGGACAAAAGTCATATTACAATTGAAGTTTTTCCAGATCAACAAGACAAAATAACAAGTTGAAATATTATCTCGTCTCATAATAGTTGTGACATTTGCAAGCAGATTTCATACACTAAATGTACCAACTATTATGGGACAAAAGTCATATTACAATTGAAGTTTTTCCAGATCAACAAGACAAAATAACAAGTTGAAATATTATCCTGTCTCATAATAGTTGTGACATTTGCAAGCAGATTTCATACACTAAATGTACCAACTATTATGGGACAAAAAGTCATATTACAATTGAAGTTTTTCCAGATCAACAAGACAAAATAACAAGTTGAAATATTATCCCATAATAGTTGTCATTTCAAGCAGATTTCCTAATAAATGTACCAACTATTGTGGGATATTTACAATTGAAGTTTTGACAGATCAACAAGACAAATAACAGTTGAAATATTATCCAAGAAATAGTTGGACAGATGTATTTACCAACTGGGTCATATTACAATTGAAGTTTTGAGATCAACCAAGAATCCCTGTCTCATAATAGTTGTGACATTTGCAATACCAAGAACTATGGGACTTCAATTGAAGTTTTGACAGATCAACAAAACAAAATAAAGCAATCAAAAAATAAAGATTAGGGAGACAAAGACTCAAATATAAACCACAAATATTCATCTATCCCCAAATCAATTGATTCATTCATTCATAGTTTACAGTTTATCGACCCTTATTTAAAGCCAGAAAATATTTTTAGATTGTAAGACTAGATAGTAATAATTTAGTGATACAAGTCTTACTAATTAACCCATAGCTAGGGAGAGAAGAGGTGAATTCATACCTTTTCCATGTGTATTTGCACGTAAGTGAATATAACAAATCCAATGGGAATTGGAACCCTGTTCTTCGATTTACAATTCCAAGTCATAATCCATTACACCACATGCACATCCAAGCTTACAGCACCTGGTATTCCCAAATGGTCACCCATCTAGGTACTGACCAGGCTCACTGTTGCTTAACTTTTGTAATTGTATGAGAAACAGTGTTCCAATGTAATGTGGCTGTAAACCCCAATTTAATGTATATAGATTGAAATATAAATAACCAATATTTACCTAACCGTAAAGAAAGTAAATGTGCACAGACTCACATACATGCAATGAAGATTTATCTATCCTTGAAACAAGTCTTATAGACTCATATACAGGGTGCGGAAGCAAAATTCACAAAGAAAGTTTAGTTGCTTTTTCTCAGCAAGTAGTACGCCATTTTTTTTAAACCTACCATATATTGATGCCACAATCATATTTAATATTATTATTATTTATATCTTTTCAGAAACCTTTACCCATATGAATAATCAGGAAAAAGCAAATGTGAAGGAATCTGTGATTTGCTAAATGCACTTGTTACTGCAAAGGGGATTTCTAGAATTAATTGGAGTGTACCTAAAGACTGTTTATAATGTAAAGAAGAGGATGATTATGCGGGAAACTATTAAGAGAAAGTCAGGAAGTGGAGGAAGTAATAAAAAAACGTACTAAAAGATTTATCAAAATTCTGAGATCTAAAATCCTAAAGGATCCATGAGAAAAATGGCAGTTGAACTTGAAGTAAACAGCAAGACTATCAGAAATGCAGTAAAATTTGATTTGAAGTTAAAATTTTATACAAGAACACCAAGACATTTGTTAACAACAGCCATGAAGAAAAAGAGATTGGCAAGGAACAAGAAAATTATCACATGGCTCAAGAAAAAATCCTCCATTGTGATGATCTTTTCAGATGAGAAGATCTTCACTGTTGATACTGTTCAAAACCGCAGAAATGACAGATATATTGCAAAGTCGGAAGCTGAGTGTAAGGAAACATTCAGAACAAAATAACCTGCTCAAGTTATGGCTGTTGGTGTTGTGGCTTCCGATGGAAAAATGATGCCTATAAAATTCTACAAACCTGGTGATAAAATCAATGCTGATACTTATTACAAGACTCTAAGATACAATATATTGCCATGGCTTAAAGCCAACTACCCCGATGGAAATTATTTATGGACACAGGATGGTGCTCCGGCCCACACAGCTAGAAAAATACAAGTTTTCTGCAAATCCATCTTTGGTAATTTTTGGGAATCAAGTTTATGGCTGCCCTCTAGCCCAGATCTGAACCCTATGGATTCTGCTGTTTGGAGCATTTTAGAATATGCTACCAACAGAACATCATTCAGCAATGTGGACTCTCTTAAAAATGCTACCAGGGAAGAGTAGAAGAAATTATCTCCCAACTTTATTATGAAAACATGCGCAAGTTTCAGGGGGCGTGTGGAAACAGTTATTGAGAAAAAAGGAGGACACAGAGAATAAAAATAGTTTCTAGTATGTAAATTTTTTGTGGAAACTAAATTCCTTCAAGTTTCAATAAACTCATTGGTCATTTAAGGTCTTTTAATTCCTGTCTCAAAATATTGTAGATTTTGTTCCTCACCCTGTACATGCAATCAAGATTTATCTATCCTTGAAACAAGTCTTATAGACTCAAATATAAACCACAAATATATTTACCTATTTAATTGTATATAGACACAGATATAAGTAACCAATTTTTTCCCTCTTCCTGAATTAAATAATTGTAGACTTACATATAAACATTTTATATTTATCTATCCCCAAATCCACTAAAAGCTTAGTCTCAAATACAATAATAAAAAAAACATTTCAACACTGAATAACCAGTGGAACTGACATGTTCCAAAATCAACCAAAGAAATTAAAATAACAAATAAGAAAAGAATGGAAAGAATATGGATTATCAAAATGGAAAGAATATGGATTATCAGAATAATAAAACAATTGAAACCATAACATTATGAAAATCATATTTAATACTGAGTTCAAATTCCAGTCAGATCCATTACATTCATTTACATGCTAATACCCTTGGAAAAAGTATGAATCCTTTTCTTCTCCCCCCAGTTATGGGTAAATAACAGGACAGACTTGGTTCTATAGCCTTGGATGTCAACTGGCCTCGGAGAAAGTAACTCTGAATTCAAAACCAGCCTGGAGAGGGTTGGGCTCCATCAGGCTATTGTGCCCAAGAAACACCATTTGTGATCATGATATATATATATATATATATATATATATATATATATATATATATATATATATATAAATAGAGATAACTAGACTCGTTGTTGAAAAACCCTTGAATTTTTGATTTGCTAATCAAATCAATCTCGAGGAAAAAGGTTTTAAAAAAGAAAGAGCTACAAACATGAACTTCTGCCGACAAAAAAAATCGCACAGATGCAGGTCTGAAGCCCAAAGAAAAAACCCGATACGAGTAACAACTAACTAACAAAAAGAGCTCAATACAACTGTAGAGCAGACCTAGATACATTTAGTGAGCCAGACAAACCTACCTGACGATCCGTTTAGGTGAAACCTAGGTAGGTTTGTCTGGCTCACTAGGTGTATCTATATATATATATATATATATATAGATATATGCATACATATATATATATATACACACACACACCATATATATATATATATATATATATATATATATATATATATATATATATATATATATACATATATGTATATACATACATTTATCTATCTATCTATATATATATATACTAGCAGCATGGGCAGGCATTGCCCGTTCTTGATTCAAAAATCATATGACTTATACAGCAATCACTATCACTTGACTTAAAATATTTTTGCCTTTCCTTGCCTTTAAAGGAGTGCCCTTTGCCGTGCTGATGTTGCTATATGCCTTACTTCTTGCCTATCTCACACTGCAAATTTTTTCTAAGCTCTATACTAAACATTAAATCTGTTATGAAAAAAGAACTAAACAAAATGAACACAAAACGATCAGCTTTAAAAAAAGGACTCATAACTGGAAAAACCGAATGAAAAAAAGAATGTTAACAACAAATACATTTTCACACCCAACCCTGTTCTGCAGAATCAGAATCAACGTTGAGTTTAAGCAAGCTTAGTCTCAAATACAATAATAAAAAAAACATTTCAACACTGAATAACCAGTGGAACTGATATGTTCCAAAATCAACCAAAGAAACTAAAATAACAAATAAGAAAAGAATGGAAAGAATATGGATTATCAGAATATGGATTATCAGAATGGAAAGAATATGGATTATCAGAATAATTAAAACGATTGAAACCATAACATTATGAAAATCATATTTAATACTGAGGAGAGTGCTGGAGGATTGGGAAGACTTGCTGTCACTTTGGTCTACAGAGACAACTGCCAAATGACTTTTGTGTAAGAATGCCAAAAATAATAAACAAATTGAGTTTCTAAAAATATCAGAATTATTTCTTTTTAATATTAAATGATTATCATTAGTTTTCTCCTGTACCCCACCTGATTCTTTGTAATTTTCTTGAGTCTGCAAATTGGTGCATTTTTCTCTTACCTTATATTTTCCCTTTTATTTTTGTCTTCATCTTTCAGGAAAATAGTTACTTGTATTTTTCAACCTTCATAACTCACAATCACTCGTTTCATTATAAAGAAAATATTTCCTCTCTTGAGCATATTAATTTCCGATGCATTTCTCAAAAAAGGATTTCTCTTGTCACTCAATCTATAATTTGGGATTTCCCTAACTGAATCAATTAATTAACGTTAATTAAGAATTAGTTTCCTCTTTATTAGCAATAATAATTATTTCTTCTGGCCATAATTAAGTTTTCTTTAAACTAACCCACATTGATAAATTTATAACATGACAGCTTATGGTTGAAAATTTGTACATTCTCAAAAGAAATAAATTCAACACATACACGGTTTATTTATACAATTTACATTGTTCTGACTACTGTCCTCATCTCATTGTCATATTCACGTTTCGGCTGTTGTATTCTCCAGCCTTCTTCAGCTGATATACATTGGAATTTTGAAACCGAACACTTTATTTCATTCACTGGTGCAGATTGTTCTAGTTCCATGTGCCATGCCTTTTCTGGATATCTCAGTTTCAGTTATCCCCCTATAATAACTCAACTTTTCAAGTTTTTGTTCATCTCTGTTGTGACCAGGTATTGAACTCACAACTCTTTGGGTCAAGTCACTGGATTACTTTAACCAATGCATTTGTCCACTGGACCCTGTGTCCTGAAACTGAGACTACCAGAAGAGGCATGGCATGTAGAATTAGAACAATCTACCCTGATAGATGAAATAAAGGGTTCAGTTCAAAATTACAATGATCTATTTCACCTGAAGAAGACCAGAGCGTACAACAGCTGAAACATCATGAATATGACAATAATGAGGACAATAATCTGAATAGTGTAAATAATGGTTAAAATACCTCATCTCAGAAATATAGACAGATACATAGATGGTTTATATATATATATATATATATATATATATATACACATTTATGCATCCTAGTAAAATCAACTGTACTTTGTATGCCTTTACTTGTTTGCACTTCTCTCCAAGATTTGGCTATTTTAGAGGGTGTGACAGACAGTTGGTTGTCGGACAGATGGACTAACAGAAGTCACAGAATTCTATATATAGATAGAATAATGTGGTTAGATTCTTTTTGGTGTTGCTTAGTCCCTAATATCTATTACATATAATATCACTGGAGATTATTTCAAAATTTCAGATTTCCAAATAATTCCAGTACGTAGACAAAAGTAATTCTGCCTAGCACACAAACACGATATTGGTTCTTAAAAATGGCAGAGATGGTCAAATATATTGAATGAAAGGATAACATATGAACTTCAGTTTATCTACAGTTTTGATCGCAGTTTTGAGTATTGTGATTCATTAAAAAAATTGGAAAAATTCAATAAAAAATTAAATCGACAGAAAATGTTTTTAATCAAACTTGTTTGAATATATATATAAAGCAGTGAAAATGGTTAAAACGTTTGAAGTTTCACTGCTAAATATTGATTCCAATTTCTACACAGTCTCTATATCCACATTCATACACACACACTCATATATATATATATATATATATATATATATATATAT